GAGGCCATGGCAACAACCACCCAAATCACAACAACAGACGCTATGGCAACAACCACCCCCATCACAACAACAGAGGCCATGGCAACAACCACCCCCATCACAACAACAGACGCCATGGCAACAACCACCCCAATCACAACAACAGAGGCCATGGCAACAACCACCCAAATCACAACAACAGAGGCCATGGCAACAACCACCCAAATCACAACAACAGAGGCCATGGCAACAACCACCCCCATCACAACAACAGAGGCCATGGCAACAACCACCCCCATCACAACAACAGACGCTATGGCAACAACCACCCAAATCACAACAACAGAGGCCATGGCAACAACCACCCCCATCACAACAACAGAGGCCATGGCAACAACCACCCCCATCACAACAACGGACGCTATGGCAACAGATGCCACAGCAACAGGCACACCCATAGCCACGACAACAGATGCCACAGCAACAGGCACACCCATAGCCACGGCAACAGATGCCACAGCAACAGGCACACCCATAGCCACGGCAACAGATGCCACAGCAACAGGCACACCCATACCCACGGCAACAGATGCCACGGCAACAGGCACACCCATACCCACGGCAACAGATGCCACGGTAACAGCGACGACGGCGACCGAGCCTCCGCCTCCTGCCTCCGCCGCCCGCCGCACAGGTAGGGATCCCGCGCTCGCGGAAGGGCGCCAGGGCGTGTACGTGCGTGCGTGTGCGTGTGCGTATTGCGTGTATGTGCGTGTGCGTGAGTACGAGTGCATGTGCGTGTCTACCGGATTCTTAATTCTTCATATCTTTCGTGCAGAAGTCACTTTGATAACCTCGACCGTTTTCCGTTCTGGTAGGCATTCTTTAACAACACAGAAATTTGAATAATTTCATGTATATAATAATCAGCACTTGTAACACACACACACACACACACACACACACACACACACACACACACACACACACACACACACACACACACACACACACACACACACACACATATATATATATATATATATATATATATATATATATATATATATATATATATATATATATATATATATATATATATGCAAAATGGCCGCCACATCTTGACACTGCATCCAGGGTGCAGTACTTTTTAATGCTTTGATATTTTCATGGTTTACGCAAATAGTTAATTATCTACAGGATTATCATATATGCCTAATATTTATAAACAGATTTATTTGTTGACCTATACAATAGGCATGCACGTCTACAGCTATTTGATAAGCATCGATATGTACACGGAAATCTTGTATCGCTGCTTTGGTTGTGGATGAAAGTTAATGTATATTAACAATAATAATAATAATGATAATTATTATCATTATTATTATTATTATTGTTATTATTATTACCATTATTAATATTATAACAATAAGTGCATTTCGGGCAGTTGGTGTGAGAACACCTATGGACGGGCATTCCCTCACATATACATATACTCACACACACACACAGGCCGGGCCATAGCCGAAGGCCCGGGCGAAGCTAGAACAAATCGCAATAGTAGTAGTACACACACACACGAGCGTGTAATCTCGGGGCTTAAGCCGCGAGAGCTTTGCTTCGACGCCTTGGTCAGGGCGTCTCCCGAGCTGCGACGAAACTCGGGCAAGAGGACTTTCGAGCAGCCAAGGGGCCCAGCTCTTCTGCAGGTCGGTTCACCTACAGGTCAGCTCTCTTATAGGTCAGTTCACCCACAGGTCATCTCTTCTGCGGTTCAGATCACCTACAGGTCAGCTCTCCTGCGGGTCAGTTCACCAACAGGTTAGCTTTCCCAGCTACCTTCACCGCTTCCTGCGGGATCAGTGATGCGGCTTTACTGTTTTCTTCTGTTTGGTTGAAGTTTTGCTCATGAATACCATATTATTGATAGTGAGTATTATATATATTGATATATATTATTGGCTTTTCGTTGGTATTTAGTTCATGGCATTAAAACTAGCAGAATAGTATATCTGAGGAAGAGACATATATATAGATAGATAGATAGATAGATAGATAGATAGATAGATATAGATATATTACATATTCCATTGCAGGACATAGGCCTCCTCTAAATCTTTGGTTGAGAGTTTGTTAAGCAGTGCCATCCTTGCCTGCCTGGACGCCCTTCGTGGTCAGCGGGGATTCGGGCGCTCCTCCATTCCCCTGGGAGGCCATCGCAAAGCCACGTGAACCAAGAAAGTGACATACATGTACGTATAAATACTGTTATCCATTTATAATGCAATAATGTGCTTGGTATGGAGAGAGGTAGTATTATTGGGAGGAAGACAGTGAGGATGAAGAGTAGTAATAAGGTGGTTGGGGGCAGACAAAGACGAAGACTGTGCAGGAGACGGAATGGATGATGTTGGGAGAGAGGAAGGGGTGTACTCTGAAGATTGAGTAATGACCTGGGTGGATGATGCGGAATGGTTAGAGTTGACAGCAAACATCGAGGAGGGGGTGTTAGTATCAGTGGTGTGAGCCGTGGTCAAAGGAGCGGCAGGGGTCAGGAAACCAATGAATCAAGTTTAGCTAGGCTAGTTGATGAAGGTGGCAAGCCTTAAAAGCCCTGCTGCAGGAAAACAAATCTTCATTATAAGCCATGTTGAGCCTGAAATAAATGAGGAGAAGAAATATTCTACCCTCAGGGTCCTCATAAGGGGTAAGGGCCAACGATTAAGCAAGGGAATACCATGGCCATGGCTCCTGGAGGCTGTTCCTAACTGACCAAACCAGCCTTTCATCCTTTCAGCACATCTCTCACACCTTTGGAAGTGGACAGAAGGGGATGATGAAGAAGAGACGGAAAAGGAAAGGGGGAGAAGAAAAGACATGCAAAATTAGTTGAGGTGAGGGCTGAGGCCCAAGGGAGGGCTGAGGTCCAAGGTAGGGGTGGTAACCTACGTTGAGCCTCAGCCTCCTTATGACAATGAGCAAGGGATTAGAGGGTATCCACTATGTAAGACTTAGTATTTTAATAAGGCCCCTGATAAGCAGAAATCATGGTTAGTGTGATCATGGAAATTGAACGAGTATTAGAAACTAACTTGTCAAACTTAATGTTGCAATTATGAACATGAGTTTTAAATTTACCAAAAACCTATATGTTAAATTTCATGCATAGTATTAGAATTAAAGTGTCATATATATAAAGCAGACAAAATTAGTATCATTTATCCTTCATTTACTTATTGGTATTTCTAAGTTTACTTTTGGCAACTGTACATTCAAGCACTAAAGTGAGTTTTTGAAGAATGTAAATATACTTTATAATTTCAGTTTTTCATGTATATCTTAAATGAATTTCTCATCATTTTGCATACCAAAGGAAACATAACAACAGCAAACTGTAAACTGATAATGCCATCAAAATAAAAAAAAATATTATTTGTAATTCTAAAAATGTGTAATTATATTGTAATTTATTTTAATTTAGAAATTGCCTATATTCTTCTCTTTCTGAATCAATGTCACAGCATCTCAGTAAGCAGTCAAGGATCAGTAAAATGCTCCATCTATTTCTGATCTCTATTGATAATAGAAAACCTCCATACAAAATTTACATGACACTGATTAATCATTCACTTTGACCTTCACAGACATAACGCTTCAAATGGATTGGTCCTGGAACTTCAAAGCGATCACATTATATTCATTTCTCATCCTAAATAGAGCAAATGACCTCTTAATCTAATTAGTTCATCTTATAATACCTAGTTATTTACAGATAGCTGGCCTTTACAGCAATAATTTTTATATAAAGAGCTTCTTGGAGGGAGTCACTTTATCAGAGTAATATAAAATTTCTTTATTCTACCTCAGGTCTGATAGCAATCAGCATAAAGTCAATCTGCTGTCATCACTGACAAAAAATAACCTTCTGTGGGTACACAAAAACTAAATTTTTATACACTCTTTTGAAAAAATCCACAATTTTAACTGCAAATAATGCACCTTGCTTCTTTTGCTTTGTAAATAAAAAAATGATAATAGTTCCACTGGTCTACATATTAAATTATACCTGACTCTTTCCTTAGTAAACTCAGGGCTCTTAGAAAACACATAAAATGCTGTAATTAGTGAAAGAACTCCCTATACAACCAATATAAACCTCATAATAGCATGTTTTCAGTGATGCTTTGTGATCACTCACAGTGTTAATTTGACAATAATGGCACAAAAAAGAAAAAATAGTGTCATGATCTCCAGAGAACATGTTTAAACTTCTTCCTTCAGAAGAATATTGAAACTATCAGTAATATAACAGCATTTAGAATAGAGCGTGATGTTAACAAGAAATGGAGGGAGAAGTCTATTCACTTGTCAGTTAAACCTTTCAATCCAAACACATCTAAAATTAACATCACAAACTTGACAGATTGCATCCTTTAAGGGAAATCAGAACTTACTGTCACTTTTCTTCTGAATCCCATGAATTGTGATTACATCAAACTGACAGTGTAGATATTTTGGTGAAGAAATATTTTGACTTTTAAAACAAAATTGACAAAACATTTTTGTTCTCATAATTTCTTTCAATGAATTTCTTTTACTTCATTTTTAATGAATTCTGTTAATGATTTCACACCTTTTCCATACACAAACTACTTTTAGAACCATTACATTCAATAGCAGCCAGCCTCATAAGCAAGCTGTGGTCATTCTAGAAAGGAACATGAAATGCAAACACTAACATTTACAAGGCAACATACCTTGTCAAATTGCCATCTGGGTAAGTCCCAGCTACACACACAATACTGAGGTAATTGGACTCTATCCCTCAATACTGTGTAGTGCATTTGCCCAGGTGTGTTTGGGCTTAAAGCTGACAGTCTCACTGAGGTTTGACATTCAAAGCTCGCTTTCCTTCCTGCTTTGGAATTTTACAGTCTACAAGAATCTTGATGCACCATGCGCTCAGTCACGATGCTTCTAGTGAATTACAAAAATATATGTCTAAACAGAAATATGAATGTGAACTGGATTCCTATAGTGGGAATAATAATGTCAGGAGGATCAGAAGAAGAAAATCTGACTAGATTACATCTGTATGAAGAGCATTATAAAGAACAAGAACATATATCATTCATTAGGTAAAGCCTCAAGTGTACAGTAGGAGAAATATTTTGCAATAATCCTTCAATTTACCAGAATACAGAGCAAGAGAAGTTAACTAAACCTGGATTTCCATAGAACAAAAAAAGGTAAACTGTATGTCATGAAATCATTATACCGTTTTCTTTGAAGCTAAAGGTTGTCATGTGATAACCTAAAACCCTTGTTTTATATTTTGTATTTTGTGGAGTATTCTCACTGTATAATGTTTTCTAAAGGTTGAAAAATGTATTCTGGTATGGAATTATACGAGCCTGCATTGCTGTAGAAATAAATTGTGAGTGTGTATAGAAACGAAGGAAATGACAGCGTGGTTTAGAGTTTCGTGTGACCTTGCCTCTTTGTGATGGCCGAGACATGAATGCTGGAGACAGCGTGGCTGCTCCTGAAATTCTGCTGGTTTTCAAGGGTACTTGATGGAATTCAACCACCAGACTGTGCTCTACTCAACGGTAGAGACTCTAGGCATTCCTAGATAGTTAGAGTAACCCATGTTAACCAGTATGTTTCGAATAGTTATACTTTAGTGTGTTGTGCTGCTGAACATGTGACCTGTTTGAGACAATCCCTTTTAATGGTAATATCAATGAAGGTTTGATGTAGCACTAAATATTACCATTCTTGTTCTCAAACTATAAAACTTTTTGTGCCAAGAGAAACAAACCCAAGTATCGTACCGAAGGAAAATCTTGAGTTTTCCATCGTGTTTTAATTCACTATTAGTAGGGATTCTTTGTGATGTGGAAAATGTCTCGGGGGCATTCTGCCTAAGTGAAAAAGGTGGGAATAACTTAATGCCTTACAAACATATTGTTTTCATAAAATGGAATACATTGTTAAACTTTGCAGTACATATTCTACTTCTGGTCCCCTACACCTGAACTCTGCTAAACTGAGGGATTGCTGAACATCATGTGGCAGTGACTAGTATCCTGTTATTTTTTTTAACTGGTACTTCCTAGTTAAGCGCTGTCTTATCAATTAGTGAACCTGCCTACATGCAGATGCAAATGGATACCATCTCGACCATCTTTAAAAATCGACTTTAATGATTATGAAGTCCACTGAAAAATGTAACACTTTACTCTTACTTGCAATTTACCTAAAGAACTAGATATATTAAAACACTATTTATATGAATTACTCACTAATATATACATTTATATTGTCAAATAGGCTTTGTATTATTTCAGTACCAACCACATTCAAATGAAGATTTTTTTCTCTATGGTTTAGAGATCAACTAAATCAAATGGAACTGTTAACATGGAGACTACATGACAGTACCACTCAAATTTATCATTTTCAAAACCATGCACAAAAAATCTATTCACAGGAAGTAGGCCTTATTCATATTCACATCCACATTCCAATCACTTAAAGAATTATTATATAAAAAAAAGCATTTACCTAGAAAACATTTCTTAACTTTCCTTTTCATAGAGTAAAAATTGACATCATATATATAAATATACTATATAATATATATGTGTATATATATAGATAAATATATCTATATCTATATATCTATATCTATATCTATAGATATATACAGATATATATATATACAGATATATATATATATATATATATATATATATATATATATATATCTGTATATATATATATATATATATATATATATATATATATATATATATATATATATATATATATATATATATATATATATATGTATAAATACATATATATATATACATATATATATATATACACATAAAAAAATCTTAAGATAACATGATTGTTAATCACACACATTAAGGTAATCTATACATATTAAACTGCAGTTTATATGAAGTATTAATTACTTGTTACCTTTTCCTTTCTTTGAAATAGTAAGTTTCACATAACAACAGTTTTTTTCAGGAACTTTTCAGTCCTGATTCTGTTAGTCAGAATCTGGCAATTTTACAACTCATTAGAAAAGTTAACACATTAACTTGCCTAAACCACTCACCACATTAGTCATGGATTCTATAGTGATATAATTAGCATATGCACCACCATCTTAGGACTAGACTCCTCTGGGGTGACGGTGAACTCTGAAGAGAGTTTTCAACCATT